CTGATATCCCCACCAACAGGTCGGCTGGAGATGTACGGTGTGTTATGAGCTGTGATTTAAGGTTCGGACACCCTGATATCCCCACCAACAGGTCGGCTGGAGATGTACGGTGTGTTATGAGCTGTGATTTAAGGTTCGGACACCCTGATATCCCCACCAACAGGTCGGCTGGAGATGTACGGTGTGTTATGAGCTGTGATTTAAGGTTCGGACACCCTGATATCCCCACCAACAGGTCGGCTGGAGATGTACGGTGTGTTATGAGCTGTGATTTAAGGTTCGGACACCCTGATATCCCCACCAACAGGTCGGCTGGAGATGTACGGTGTGTTATGAGCTGTGATTTAAGGTTCGGACACCCTGATATCCCCACCAACAGGTCGGCTGGAGATGTACGGTGTGTTATGAGCTGTGATTTAAGGTTCGGACACCCTGATATCCCCACCAACAGGTCGGCTGGAGATGTACGGTGTGTTATGAGCTGTGATTTAAGGTTCGGACACCCTGATATCCCCACCAACAGGTCGGCTGGAGATGTACGGTGTGTTATGAGCTGTGATTTAAGGTTCGGACACCCTGATATCCCCACCAACAGGTCGGCTGGAGATGTACGGTGTGTTATGAGCTGTGATTTAAGGTTCGGACACCCTGATATCCCCACCAACAGGTCGGCTGGAGATGTACGGTGTGTTATGAGCTGTGATTTAAGGTTCGGACACCCTGATATCCCCACCAACAGGTCGGCTGGAGATGTACGGTGTGTTATGAGCTGTGATTTAAGGTTCGGACACCCTGATATCCCCACCAACAGGTCGGCTGGAGATGTACGGTGTGTTATGAGCTGTGATTTAAGGTTCGGACACCCTGATATCCCCACCAACAGGTCGGCTGGAGATGTACGGTGTGTTATGAGCTGTGATTTAAGGTTCGGACACCCTGTTATCCCACCAACAGGTCGGCTGGAGATGTACGGTGTGTTATGAGCTGTGATTCAAGGTTCGGACACCCTGATATCCCCGCCAACAGGTCGGCGTGTTATGAGCTGTGATTTATGGTTCGGATACCCTAATATCCCCACCAACAGGTCGGCTGGAGATTTACGGTGTGTTATGAGCTGTGATTTAAGGTTCGGACACCCTGATATCTCCACCAACAGGTCGGCTGGAGATGTGCGGTGTGTTATGAGCTGTGATTTAAGGATCGGACACCCTGATATCCCCACCAACAGGTCGGCTGGAGATGTACGGTGTGTTATGAGCTGTGATTTAAGGTTCGGACACCCTGATATCCCAGCCAACAGGTCGGCTAGAGATGTACGGTGTGTTATGAGCTGTGATTTAAGGTTCGGACAGCCTGATATCCACATCAGCAGGTCGGCTGGAGATGTACGGTTTGTTATGAGCTGTGATTTAAGGTTCGGACACTCTGATATCCCCACTAGCAGGTCGGCTGGAGATGTACGGTGTGTTATGAGCTGTGAGTTAAGATTCGGACACCCTGATATCCCCCCAACAGGTCGGCTGGAGATGTACGGTGTGTTATGAGCTGTGATTTAAGGTTCGGACACCCTGATATCCCCACCAGCAGGTCGGCTGGAGATGTACGGTGTGTAATGAGCTGTGTGTTAAGGTTCGGATACCCTGATATCCCCACCTGCAGGTCGGCTGGAGATGTATGGTGTGTTATGAGCTGTGAGTTAAGGTCCGGAAACCACGATATCCCCACCAACCGCTGTGATTTAAGGTTCGGACACCCTGATATCCCCACCAACAGTTCGGCGTTTGATGAGCTGTGATTAAAGGTTCCGATACCCTGATATCCCCACCAACAGGTCGGCTGGAGATGTACGGTGTGTTATGAGCTGTGAGGTAAGGTTCGGACATCCTGATATCCCCACCAGCAGGTCGGCTGGAGATGTACGGTGTGTTATGAGCTGTGAGGTAAGGTTCGGACATCCTGATATCCCCACCAGCAGGTCGGCTGGAGATGTACGGTGTGTTATGAGCTGTGAGTTAAGATTCGGACACCCTGATATCCCCACTAACAGATCGGCTGGACATGTGGATCCACTGCTGGTTACCATTTTTAAAAATACCAAATTTGTGTCAAAATATTCTTTCACCATTTTCAACAAAAAATCCTGACCACAATATCTACACCACCACTCGCAGTGTATTTTTAATCGCTAGCTGTATGGTGTTTGAAAAAAATGAACCTCCGTTCCTTTCTATTGATACTAGTACATTATCCAGCTTTAAAGGGAAAGGAATGACGTTAGAATGCATAAAGATGAAGCATGTTAAGACACTCAAGTTTATTATCTGTGCAGCAGAAACAAAAAACGATTTTTATAGCAAATCATTCCTACACGGTTCTTGGAAAAAAACAGATTTAGCAAGTCACAAAAATCTGTTTTTTGGAAATAGGTCTACATTTTATAAAAAGTCCATATTAACAATATCTTCATTTACACGATTAAATAACAGAATTAGACATGGAACTGCAATAAACACATCATTCATTCAAACTGCCTTCAGCTACAGACTTCGTCCTGTTCTCGATACTCGTCTTCTTTGCACCCTTGAAATATGTTATGACAAAATATACTGAATGCTCGCGGTTAGCTCTCTCTTTTGTTTCAGGGAAAACAATCGACCAATCGCAAGGTGATAACTGTTCTTTGAAGATTGCAGATAAGCTTCACCCAACTTCAAAGCCCTATTTTGCCGTTACGCTACCGTGCGATTCCTTTGATCTTCATAAAAGACACCAAATAAGTCTACTTGTATCATCTGCAAGTTGTTACCTAATTAGCCTTCGATTTTATCTTGGCACATATTCTAAGGTGCAGAGAGAATGTATCGCAAAAGCAAAACTGTTGGGTTTTTGAAAATAGGACTTTGCTATCACGGATGTAATAGACAGGGAAAAACTCCTGTTACACAAAACTGCAACCTTTGTACCACCTTTGAACGACCTAAGTTACCATTCGGCCTCCTTTGAGCCTCCAACGGCGACCGTGCTAGTTTTATGGTCGCACATGTGTAAAGGGGGTTTAGGACACAAGGACTCAAGTATAATAGAAACATGATGTGGGACTGTTGTGCATTCATGCTCGTAAAATGGTGTAAAAGTACACAATTTGTATTTAAAATCAATGTTGTGAAATTAAGTTTATAAAACGAAGAGGTTTGATAGAGAGCCCAAGGCGTGTTTATAAATATGTGTATATATATATTCCTTAATTGTAGTCACTTTAAAAACAATATTTCATTGGAGTACAAATTGAATTAAAAATCGGGATTCGAGAACTCGGTCATATTTCAATGAAAAGCATGAGGAACGGTGGTATACAATGTTGAAAAGTCAGCAACGTAAAAAAGTGCTTCACGAAGACGGCCGGTGTTCGATCCCCGATAGGTCATGAACAGATATGTGGTCACCTGTCCGACTACACGAGTTTTATCCGGGTTCTCCATTTTGTTCCCACATTCTCACATTAAGACCCCCTTATCAGGGCGAACAAGAGTGTGTATATAGGTTGATAGACATTTTTCATAATACTTTTTAAAAATGAAGTTCATTTTATAGTGATAATAGAAGTATTTCAAGATGGAAATCTAAGGATCTCCAGCAGCTTTTTAGAATATTTTAATAATCAATATCAAGAAGTGAAATGGAAATGATCATGAAGTCTTTTGCTTACATTAACAAGCACAACGCAATATGAAAATAATCAAAAGTGAGTAATATAATTATATAGATGTAGGGTACGCGGTGTGATACCTATTCAGAGTTAATTAATATATTGATCTGGCAAACATAATCGTTGGTGCTTGTTGAGGTACATACTACTTGATGTAGGTATACAGTGTGCATAATCCTTCTGGCTGACTGTATTCCCAATGAGTAGGTTGAACTTGTTGAAGCTGTATAAGTATCTAACTACTTTCAAAAATAATCGTTTCACTTATACAAACACACTCTCTCCTCGAGCGTCTCTTTCACGCATTGAAATGATTTTTTTATGAAAATGTTATCAATGACCTAGTTCAGTAAGTGAAACAAATTATTATTTGTGATGAAAATGTCCTTTAAAATCAAATAGAAAAATATACGCCGAGTCCTGCCGACATGGACTATGAGTTATAACGTGGGATCGAGACTTAAATCTTCATTATCGATTACATAACTACGAAGTTTATATAAATAGTAACACCTCGGTATAATGCCGTTCATTCCATTTTCCAATGGCTTATCGCCAACACATTTCAATGTTCTCTTTTTTTAAAGGATTGCTTTGTCTGTTTCCCTCAATTTATTGCCAAACACTTGTATGATGCCTCACTTTCTCTGGAGACATTATAGTAAAGTATTCTGAGACATGAACTGGATACGTATATAGTTTCTTTCCGGATTCTGCCATATTCATGTAAGTCCATTATTTCAATGTAACATGTCCTGAAAAGGAAGTTAAGGGGGTGCAGTGGAGAGCGCGCTTGTCTATCACAAGGAAGACCGGAGTTCGACTCGGACATGATCAAATGTAAGTTTGTCAATAGTTTTTACACACACATGACAATACAAAGCACTGTTGGTCAATAAACAACATACAGGCATTGCTGTACTAACATATTATGTTCGTCAATGTTTAATACAGACGTGACAATACTGCGTTTGTTCGTATATAACCCTCAAACAGGTATGAGAATAACCTTGAATGTGATACAACACAAATCAATTGTTCAGTTTTTTTGGTAAATGTTTGAGTTCGGTGTTGTAGCTGGCTGTGTCGTGCTATATGTGAGAAAACTGATCGCTACCTGTCTCTGTCTAATAGTACAGAGCACAGTAAGGGAGCCAGGGTTTACGTTGGGCCCGCGTATTTAAATAGTAACAAACACAGCTTTGTAACGGGTGACTAGTTTTGATTGGAATATATCGACATAAACTCGTCTGTGGTAGCGACACGGGTAGAACAGGTACACATTAACTTACATGTAAAAACAGGCTCTGTGGTGCAAGTTGTGGCTAATTATAGTTGTAAATTACATAACGCGAATATATATGAATATTACTGAGGGGTACACAATCAAACAGCGATCGGGGGACGCTGTATAACACTCGGATTCCAGGTGAAGGATATAATACAGGTGTGTGAGTCAATGTGACTGATACAATTCCAAAGATGTTGTGATAAAAAGAAGCGTTTCTTGAGATGAGTGTTGATTCGCCAAAGGATATAATGAAGTGTATTACATAAATCCAGCTAGTGTTGCAGGATTTATTCAAAGACTTCATTACAAAATAAAATTCGTACAGCAACAAAAGTCTAATGTCATTGTTAATGACCAAAGGGTTTTGTAATTGTGCGAAACAAATCGCGCTAATGGCGGTTGTGAATCTAGTTAATGCATTGTCGTCATCACAGTTGCGATAAAAATAACAAGAGTGTTTCAATAAGGAACAACAGAGACGGAGGATATTGAAGGCAGTAATGCAACAGAGAAGTTGAAGATAAAAAAAAACAACGCTCATGGCCGCCGGGAACAAACGATCACTTCGGCCAGCAGCAGTGGCTCTTCAAGGTAAGGTTAAATCTAAGACAGTGAATGTTCCAAACCTCTAGGATTGTTTTGTCATGCCAAGTACGTAAGCTATAACTGTGCTGAATTAATGGATAAAACAATGTTTGAATTAAAACTTCAATATGATTAAATTATGATATTTAAAATACCATTCGAGAAATCTATATTCGGGAAGAGATAGCGAGTTTAAGTTTCCCATTAATATTAATAAGGATACAAGTACGCCAAGAACAAACGAAGGAAGCGTCCTTTTATAAAATACAAGCCCTTGCAAAATTATCATTGGAAACACAGTTATGAAATGAATTATTCACGACGATTTGTTTTATCGACTAGTTCCTATTTAAATGTCTCATTTTAACATTTTTAGTTCCATTCACAGTTCTGATAAAACATACCCCTAGGTTGCTTGGTAGCGCATCAGGGGGATATGTTTGAATTCGGAATGGAAATGTGTTATGTACTTTCATATACATGTGTGTTTCAAGCATACATTTCAATCTTTTATTTACGTTCCAAACAACAAAATATGTGCAGCTTAATCTTTCTTTGTAAATGTACCTGGTTCCTGAAATATTGTAAACAAATAGTTTCAGAAAACAGCGAAACAATTCGGTTTCGTCTATGGGTACTGATCTCACCTGAAGATAAAAGCTAGTTTGAAACCATTCGTGAATTCCTGCTACAGTTGGAATGAGACGGCAGGATATAATTGGTCATTGATAACTATTGAAACAAATAAAGAGTTGTTGTAATGAGTAAATAACTATATCTTTCAGTTTGTATATTTATTTAAATCTTGACAATAAAGTAAATATAACAATATATATTTCATTTTCAAATAATTTTCATAAATATAAATTTTTAAAAACACGTTTGTGATTAAGATTATAAGTCAATGCGTTTTTGTGTTTTCCAGCCTTTGTGCGCTAAGATTAAAAATCGATCCCATATGAAATAAAGCAGATTGAATAAATTGTTTTCACATTAAATAAGAAGATTAGAAAACACTCATTTTGTCAAAAAAAATGTTGATATTTGGGACAATCGGCAATTTGAGATTTATTTTTGTTTTGTTTTTGCTTTTTTTTTTATATTTTCCAAAATTTGATGAAATAAACATATATATATATACATACAATGTACATGGGCTTCTATAATCGCCTTTAAATAATGTACATACTGTGATATTTTCACATATTAATTTCAAACTTTTACACACTGATCAGTACATGTACATCTTTCATTCGCTAACGATAAATGTATTATATTACAGGGAAAAAAACATTCGATCAAGTATCAATATTCGTCATACATATATATTAACAAATAAGTATACATTCACATGTTTGATATAAAAATAAACTTCCGGATATTCTTGTCCTTACTCTATTCTTATTATTATTGTCAAAAACTGTTGAATCATTCGTATCTTGCCTCGACCATCACTGTCGAAACAAACATACATAATTATATGGAGCCAATTTTAACCCAGCTGTGGGTATTTATTTAAAAGTGAACAACACATGTAATGACTTTAATTGACAATACTTACAATTAATTTACATCCAAACTCGAATCTGTCATTCAGAGTCACTACTGAAGTGATACGTCCATGATAATGTCATAATTATTATATTTTTATATATTTCAATGGTACTGAGCTAACAACAGAGGATTTTCCAGTCTCATAGTCAGAATAAAATCTGTGTATCTATGTAGTAAAATTAACGTATACAAATATATTACTAAATATAGTAATTATACTATTCATCAAGGCAGTGACAAATCTTGATGGGTGTCACGCTATCAAAATATATGACACCGTGTTAATTGTTGTGCAATTATGTAAATTGTTGAAATATTTAGAATTAAAACAAGAAAGAATGCACATATTTATATCCAACGTGGTTTCAATATTTGAGCGTTAGATCTAACCATTTCCCTTTCACTAACAAGGGATGATGCTATTTTTAAAAATTCTTTTAATTCAGTAACACATACTGTATTATAAATATTTTACAATATACACATATTCTCGTTCGTAAATATATGCCTATTATACAACTATTAAATACAGGTATCACTGTTGGTAGATAGTACTTCACTGTGAGCAACAGTGATCTTATTTTGAGCGCCAGTGATCTAATTGTGAGCGCCATTGATCTAATTGTGAGCGCCAGTGATCTAATTGTGAGTGCCAGTGATCTAATTGTGAGCGCCAGTGATATAATTGTGAGCGCCAGTGATATAATTGTGAACAAAAGTGATATAATTGTGAACAACAGTGATATAATTGTGAACGCCAGTGATATAATTGTGAACGCCAGTGATGTAATTGTGAGCAATAGTGATCTAAGTGTGAACAAAAGTGATCTAATTGTGAACACCAGTGATATAATTGTGAGCAACAGTGATATAATTGTGAGCAACAGTGATATAATTGTGAGCAACATTGATATAATTGTGAACAACAGTGATATAATTGTGAGCAACAGTGATATAATTGTGAGCACCAGTGATATAATTGTGAGCAACAGTGATATAATTGTGAGCACCAGTGATCTAATTGTCGAATTACTGACATGATAGGCAGATTTTCCACAATTTCTTTATAGCGTTTCTAAACAAGGATTCCGGGAAACATTCGCTCTTCACTGACAAATTCAATATTTGTCCAGCGTTATACAATATGTCTGGACATGGTAAAATAGGAAATATCGTTTGATGAGACATAGTTAGATGTGAGGTATTATATTATTTAACATATCTCTGTTGTGTTGATATTGATGAGACATAGTTAGATGTGAGGTATTATATTATTTAACACATGTCTGTTGTGTTGATATTGATGAGACATAGTTAGATGTGAAGTGTTATATTATTCAACATATCTCTGTTGTGTTGATAGTGCGGGTATACCAATGTAACCTACTATACAGAGGTAGAACGAAACTAAAATAATAATCGTAAGTACAACCAAGTCACACATGATTAAAAAGGGGAAACAATCATTTCCTTATGTCATGGATTAGATGAGATTTTCAAAGAGATTTAACAATGTGACATTTCATGACAAATAAGCATTATGTTGTAAGTTGAGATGATTTAACGACAGGCCTTAAAGACAGGAAATCATCTCCCGCCGTTTAATGTTTCTGAGTCACGGACAAAACAAAGTCGGTCTTAATCAGGAACAAAGATCAATGACTCCATTACTGCACGTGTATTGTCAACACGTGCATCATCATATCACGTGCATTTTCAATATATATATAAACGTGCATTGTTGTATTTGTATCGTAATTTGTCATTGGTCGAAATCTAAATAACAATATACAATTATAGCATATTGATGAGGTCGATACATGGTTATATCAACCTAAAAATCAATATCGACCGAGGACGAAGTTGGTATGATATATCTTTTACCTGCAACAAATGTTTATAAAAAATAAATCGCATTTGAATAGTATGGTGTGTCAATGAAATGGCGGATATCACAATAGTTTTAACTAGTGACGTGTGTGTAATGAACAATATACATATCCACCATATGTCTTAAATGGAAACTACACATTCATCTCTATATTTATAACCCCGGTCTAATCTAGTCTCATTTATTTGATAGTTTGAGGCATCTGTCTAGAATTTCTCTGATTGTGCATATTTTAGTATTTTAGAGTTTAAAAAATATCTTATGGAGGTTCTGTTGAAATTTCCTAATTAATAATAATAATAATGATATACAACATTTGATATAGCGCACTATCTAGCTAACCTAAGCCACTCTAAAGCGCTTTACAGTACATAGATATATACAATTTAATACAATGAATACAATTAGCATATACAGTAATCAAAACAATTTTGAGGAATTCGCAGAACTACCTTACCAGGCGCTTACTACTAGTCCTATGCCACCTAGCTAATATCCCCCTATGTGTGTATGCCAGCGTGTGTGCTAGAGATGTAATGTAATAAAACATTTTGCGCAGACCAATAACATACTTGGTACTAATTACATGTATTATAGATTTTGGTATCCTATTTATATGGACATTTAATAAAACTCAACATTTCTTTGAGCAAATACGGTACAAAACGGCAATACATGTGTTAAGAAAGTGAACAACATAAAAGCTTACAACCTCGATGCCGTCCGTTATATACGATGAGTGTAGGGTACATTTCTATAGAATTCCTTGCGTAGGTGGCGTAAGGTAAAGTTAAGCCCGAACCAAAACACCGAATAACAGGATTTACCCTGTCAGAAATTAGAACGATTCGCATTAACATGGCCGTTGGTATATTTTAAAGGGGCTAACAAACCAACCTAAAAATAGATCAGTCATTTTGATTAAGCTCCGCCAGGGACGAACTGATATGATCCAACTAATTCATTGATTTCCGATAGAAGAACTGGGATTGCTATAATGTGTGTTTCATTCATTACATACCCAAAATAACGTTATATTAACTACATCACGGGTAAAGGGTTGCAGTTTATATGAGTGTATAATACATGATATCAATAGAATGTATTAAATGTAAGAAAAGAGGATACATAACCCTACCCAAGGGTGTAGTTTTTTGTTTGCATCGAGCCATTCCGGTGTCCTGCCACTGAGTTCTACACGTAAGTGTGGAGGTTTAACGATCTCTACTAGCATCATGATTGACGCTCTCTGTTTTGATTTGATAAAGGTGACATGTAATAAGGTATTGTTCTCTGAACGGCATTATCCTGGTCGTGTTTCCTTGTGTGAACAACACTTTCCGAAGGGCTAGGTGTTTCTCTGTCCCTCAAGTATACGTTTAAGTGCAGAGTTTTGCATACTGATTGACGCTATTGTTTATTCCGACAACTTTGACTTGTAATTCGTACATAGTCTCTTATTAACAGCATTATAACATTGCATATCTTGGTCATTTCCGGAAAGACAATTGTTTTCTGACTGCCATTTTTACACTTAAGGGTGGAGTGTTAATCACCTTTA